GCCCATGGCAACGCCCTGCACTGCACTCAGCAGAGAGGTGGTGGGTCTCCCTCCAGCCCTATAATTGCAACCCCAGCCTCCCTGATGCTGGGAAGGGAGAACCAGGGGGCAGGCTGCTGCCCCCTGTCCACTGCATTCTCTCTTGAGCCCCTTTGGAAGCATTGCCCATGAGCTGGTGCAGTCCACAGGCCCAGCCAAAACCCACTGGTATAACTAACAGCTGCAGGGTAGTTCCCTGTTCTGTGCGCCTTTTATTTATCCTAAAACTACCTCCTTGGGGCCTCTGAAGGGCCCCCCCAGGTCTAGATTCTGGGATTTGGGGGACAACTCTGTGTTCCCTTTCGCCCTCTTTTTCTGAGCCTATAAAAATTTCCCCTGAGGGCACCTGGGCCAGGGAGGGGGGGCTGGAAGAGACACCCCTCCTTTGTGCCACGACTCTGGCTATGGGCTCTGTCTCTTGTTGGCCTCAGTCCTGCACTGTTGCCCTCATGGGCTCCTGTAGCCAAGAGAGGGAGCTGGGTGTCCAGGGACCTCAGTGATGTCTTACCAGGTACAGGGCTGCTGGGCCAGAGAGCAGGGGGCTCAGGGCAGCTGCTGGGTGCAGAGTCCCGGCGCCAGGTCACCCCGCCCAGCTCCAGGACAGATCTATTCTAGGGTAAGGGGCAATCTGGAGACTAGACCGGAGCACATGACTCCTGACCCGGCCCTGTGATGTGGGGTGGGCTCTCCATCAGCCTAGCCTCTGGCTAGAGCAGAGCCAGGGTCACCCAGAAACACATACCTTTGGCTTTCAAAGTGTTTAGATCAGACTGATATGGAAATCCCTCGTAAGCTGCAAGTTGGGGGCTGCTGAGGGAAGCCACACACTCCTAAGAGCTGTGCAGGTTTGGGGGGTCTGTTTGTTCAAGGGCTGGAAAGGGAGGCATTTATTGCCCACTCTGAGCCCTCGGGCCTCCCCTCTCCACTTGCACCCTCCCTCCTGCCTCATTCCTCTCTTGGGAGGGTGGGAGTCCCAGCTCATTCCCCAAGAGCCTACTAAAGACTTGAGCATTAGCTCATGTTTTCTGTCAGGGATAAACCATTTCCCTTTAGGATTTCAAGTACCTGGGGAATTTTCCCTGTGGGCCTGCTGGGTTGTCCCTGGAGGGACAAAGCTGGGACAAGGGTCATTGATTTATTAATGCATGTAATTCATGAGTAGCACTGACATACCAGGCTCCATATTGGTACCTAGGAATGAAGGAGAAACAAGACGAAGTGACAACTGCTCTTTTCAATTTCCATCTTTCAAGATCTCAATAGCCTCATTCATTGCACCTGAGATAGGCAGATGACTGCTTCTAGGTCCAGCATCCCTTTGCTTTCCCGCTCACAGATCCTTAGAGTCCTAAGTCCCTTTTGGCACAAAACCATTGTCATGATCTTCCCTGGATAACATTTGCCGCTAAACGCAGATGCTGGATCTTGGGTTCCAGACAGATGCCATCCCGTCTGGAATTTGCAGGGCTAGCTGCTTTCAGACCAGTATCTTTGGGGCACTGTATAATAGTTTGAGATTAGTGTCTAAAAGAGTAAGGAGTCTGAAATTTGCTGCCAAACACCTCTCAGGTTCTGAAACTCACTGCTTCTTGCTCATTTTTGCTCACTTATTCCATAGTCCTGCTCCCCCCCACCTCACACCCGTCTAGTACCCCATGTCCCCCCTCACCCCAATCTGGGAGGAAGGGAGCTTCTCCTTTAACATTGCAGCCTTTCCTCATGCATCTTTTTCCTTTTGTTCAGTGTAGACCAGGGAGCTGGTAGAAATCTAAGTCGACCAGATTCCCAGCTCCTGCTGAGACTCAGATCTGGTGGCAGTTCCTGGCACGGTAAAGGAAGCTACTTCTAAAGCAGGTGCCACCTGGCTCCCTGTGAGCTCTGGGCTTCGCTTCTACTCTGTGCCCCCAAATAGTTGAAACGTGGTGGCTATCACAGTGAGTTTTGGGTCAATAGCTCAGAGCTGCTAGACCTAGGTCTGCTGAAGATGGCAGGACATCATTCTTCATCAAATTATGCAGCATTGGCAAAACTGCTCTGCACCGTTTGATCAGTTTCAATAGGCTTAGAAAAAGCTAACAAGATGTGTCTCCCATCGGTCCCCGCCACTTCGCTGGTTTTGTAATAACATAAGACCATTTTGGTTATTGGTGTCAGATACCTTTTGATCTTGAGCTTCTCTCCTACCTGCTTTCCCAGAGCAGGATCCTGGCGCACTTTCCAGAGGGTACGCCTTAGAAGTTTCCCAGAAGGACTGTATATAACCCTTGCTATTGTTGCCTGGATAGTCTCCCCTCCCCTGAGACAACCAAGAACAAAGGGCCCTGTGGTCAGTGGAACAGATTCATAAAAGTGACTCCCTTTGCCAAAAGTGTAGCCCTCTCTGCCGCAGGAATCTTGTTGGCCGGAGGGCCTGCTCCCTATGGGCATTGTAAGTGCCACAGTGCGGGGCCTGGCTCTGCGCACCCAGGAAAAGTCTGCAGACCCCCAGCCCTCCGCAATAATTCACCAGACCAGAAGCCACTGATGTACAGAGAACATTCAAGAAAAAAGTATTTTATGTGAAAAAAGTTAAAACTCTGTATACTGTATCAGCAGCTTTGTGTAAAAATGGCAATCAAGAGAGTCTAATATATTTAAAACTTTTTTTAAAAAAAATGAAAACCCTCGCGGATCTTTGATATTGTATTAAAGTAACTCCCAGGTAGCTCCTTGCTATGTGGCGGTGGCAAGCCACTGGCCAGGACTGCGGCTCAACCACACCCCAAAGGGACACACCTCTGGAGTTGCTCCCAGCTGCCAAGGCCTGTGACAGAATTCGCTGTTAAGAGTTTTTAATTAAGATTATTAAATTCCTTTTAATAACACCTACTAGTGTGGCCGTGGTCATTGGTGTGAGCGCCTTTGAACCGGACTGACTTGCATTCAACAAGCGGTAAAGCCTGGGATTGAAGGTAGGTCTCTGCCCCTCATCACGGATGACATTCCAGGGGGCGGGGGGGCCCTGAAGAGGGTGCTGTGGAGGCTCACCTGGGCTAGGCTTGCTTTCTAGTCTGGAGATGCTGAAACCTGATGAGTTCAAGCAAGGATGAACCAAAATTCTCTTGTTAGATGCTTCCTTTGAAATAGACATGGAGCCTGTAGATACAGATGATTTCTCACACTTTCAAAGGCTTTGTGATGACACCTTTCTATATAACAGGTCTTTCCTCATCTCTGTTCTATTCTTGGCATGCTCTGACCTGTCCTAGCCACTTCCCCCACCCACCCCAGTCTTTTCCCCCATAGAGCTTATAGTGGGGAAGTAAGATTCTGTGCAGTACTTTATATTGTTATGACAGTAACACAAGTGAACCTGCTTATTCTCACTGGCAAGCTATATGATTGTACTGTCCACAATATGGTCCTTTTTCTTGTGCCCTCCTGGACACTAGATGCCAGAGCAGGGACATATGGAAGACCCCACACATGGGCTTTAGAAACCTCACTAACAGGGTGGAGATAGGGAAAGCTCAAGAAGAAAGCAGCAGCAGCAGGCATTCATCCATTTTAAATGTTTGTTGGTTTCTAAACAATCATGGTAACTACAATTAGGAAGTACTTCACATGTGTACACTGATTTTCTCATACACAGGACAGTGTGGTCTAAAGGTGGACTGTTGGATTTAGTAGGGTGGAGCTCATGATGATCTGAATGAGAGTCTGTGGTTGAGCAGTGGAGAAGGGAATGCTTGGACGGGGCTGCAGGGGGACCGGGACTGGAAAGAGTCAGTAGAAACTACTCCTTGGAGGTGTGATGTTGTCAAAGTGAGCAGAGAAATGGGGAGGACGCTCTAGAGGAGTGTAGGGTCAAAGCCGGGAGAAGAGTTCAGCACGTTTGTATGTTAATAGGAATAGACTAGTCAAGAAGGGAGCTGATGACCCAGGAGAGAGGGGATAGCTGCTCCAAGTTCCCGGTCAGTTGTAGAGTAACTGGACCCCAGGACCTCAGGGGAAGGGCTGGCGTTTGCGAGGCCGCTACTGAGCAGAGGTCCGTAGATGTGATGGACACATGTACGTGATCTCTGACTGCTGGCTTTCCCATTGGGCTAGGAAGGGCGTCTCCTTATCGCCTCTAAGAGAGAGGAAACGGTATCGTGCTTGAGGGAATTGTAGGCGAGAAGACAACCTACGGGCCCACTTAAGCTCAGGGATTTAAAACACACCCAGTCAGCACAGATGCATTTACTTTTCTTCAGTCCTGTATGACGGTGGCCCGGGGGGGGGGGGGCAAGCGGAAAGTGGGTGGAGAGCGGAGTGTTTTGCCAGAACTGGGGTTCTGTCATGCAAAATTAAAGAAGTGAGAGACTAAAAGACGACCTGAGGATGTAATTAAAGGATTGGCTATTACGATGACGGGCGATTTTGAACGAACGAATGAGTGATTAAATGCAGGCAACACCGTTGAACACCCGCAAGCCCTGAGAACCCAGGATCAGCGCTTTCAGCGCCTGGGAGCGAGCCCCGGCTAGTAGGACTGCGCTGTGGGGCGGGCCGGCAGGGGGCGCCCGAGGCTGCGGGGGCCGGACTCGTGGTCCCTGCCCTGTTGCCCTGGTCCGCGCGGCCCCTCCGGCCGGACACCCCCTCTCTAGTTAACCAGTAGAGCGGCGGTCGGAATTCCGTGCAGGGGCGGGCACAGCCAAGTCACAGCAGACACAGAGTCACCAAGTTTAGGTTCCGCGACGGAACCCCGCCCCCGAGCGTGGGTTCCGCACCGTCCAGGGTTCCTGCAACGGAGCGGGGCGGGGCCGGAGTTGAGGCAGCCAATAGTATTAGGGGGCGGGGCCTCCATGCCGTGCCGACGCGGCCGTTAGGCGAAGGCAGCCAATGGGAGTGCCGGGGCGCCGGCCGGTTAGATTCAAACGTGCTTAAAAAGCCGCCGGCACGCCCGCACTCGTCCGATCCGGTCGGTAGCGATCGCTGTCATGGCTCTGCTTCACGAGGGCCTGGACGAACTGCCCGCCGCCTGCCTGTCACCGTGCGGGCCACCCAACCCGACCGAGCTGTACAGCGAGGCGCGGCGCCTCGCGCTCGAGGAGCTGGTGGCCGGCGGCCCCGACGCCTTCTCCGCCTTTCTGCGACGCGAGCGCCTGGGCCGTTTCTTGAACCCCCATGAGGTGCGCTCCATCCTGCGAGCGGCCGAGCGGCCGGGCGAGGAGGGCGCGGCGGCGGGGGCCGAGGACTCGTTCGGCTCTTCGCACGACTGCTCGTCCGGGACCTACTTCCCCGAGCAGTCGGACCTGGAGCCCCCGCTGCTGGAGCTGGGCTGGCCCGCCTTCTACCAGGGCGCTTACCGCGGCGCCACGCGCGTCGAGGCGCACTTCCAGCCCCGCGGCGCGGGCGCCGGCGGCCCCTACGGCTGCAAGGACGCGCTGCGCCAGCAGCTCCGCTCGGCGCGAGAGGTGAGCAGCGCGACCCGGCCCCTCGGGTCGCCTGGGCCCCCCCGTCGGACGGGAGATCCTCTTCAGCAGTCAGAAGCCGAGGCCGCGTGGCCCTGGGGGTCCCCGCCTCGCCCCTTTTGCTAGTCCCTGCTCCCTCCTGTCCCTGACCCCCTTGGCCGCAGCTTGCGGCTCGAGAGAGTGAGAAGAGCCTCTGTTGCCAGCGGTGCTAATTGTGCCCGAGTTTAACGCCTGACAGACACACCCTAGGAGCGGGGACCAGTAATCCTTCTAGTTTCAAATCTAAGTTAAAGTCCCAAACCAGATTGCCCTTTCCCTGGCTGTCAGCCATCACTCGATCGCACGTTCAGGGTCTTTGATGCCAAAGAAATGCATCACTTAGGGAAAAGTTCCTGTGAGACTGTCCCCAGACAGCGCTGCGGGGGTTGCTAGTCATCTCCACCTGTTGATGTAGCTGACGCAGACGCGGCTAAGTGAGAGGCTGTGGTTTCTGCGGTCTGCCACAGACTGGAGAGCGAGAGCGCTCCTTTTATGAATGGGTGAAGCAGAGGGGGGATCTGCTTTTCAGGGGCTTCCTAAAATGCAGATGCCCCTGCATTAGGTCGTGTTTTCACTCACAGTGGGTTCTGGTGTTGTCTGACTTACTGTGGCATAGTATTGGGTGCATTGGGCCCCTGGCATGTTTCCTTGCCAGTCAGGATGAGACTGCAGCCGGGTTGGGTGTCTAAAGGTCAGGGAGGAAAAATGCGTGCAAATGGATAGGGTGTGTAGGGTGTGGCAATGGACACTTTAGCCCAGAGCCCCGGTTGTTGCCACCTTGCTTGCTGGCTTCTTTCCCGGTGTCAGGGACATGGCAGGTAAATGCCATGGTCAAATGGTACTGTGCCACAGTAAGACTTGGTTGCGCTGGTCACTGAGTTTGTCTGACTATAAGTTACAATCTGTGCATCATGTCAAGTTGAAAGGGCAAGTTCAGGTAGGCAATTCCAAAATTCACCTCCAGGAGGCGAACTTGGGAGCTTGGAAAAGGAATGAACTGGGCTCTTACAAAGGAGGGACTGTATTGGTATCCTACCCAGCTTCAACTTTTAGTGGTAGTGAAGGGGCACTAGAGCTAGGTCTGGAGGGAACACTGTCAGCTTGCCTTCCCAGGGCTCTTCTTTGCCATGTGGCGTTCCGTAGTAATGACTTTCCAGAGTAGAACCTCCTGCCCTCTGCTCCAGGCCAGCTACACACTTGGCTCTTTGAGCGTCTGTGCTTGGAACTTGGGCTATTTTATGTTATTTTAAAGATTTATTTTATTTATTTATGTGTGCAAGAACTGGGGTTTAGGGCAGAGGTGCTAGGGGTGGGGTATGTGTGTGAGAGGATTCACCAGAGAGAGTGGGGAGCAGAACAGGTGGATGCACTGGAATACACTGCTGAGGGGAGCAGTGTGCGAGACAGGAGAGGTCTGCCGCACCATGTGGGTCAGCTCCCTGGCTGGAGATTGAACTCAGGCCACAGTGACTGTGGATAGCTTGATAGTGCCAAGACTCCTGTGCCCCCAGGGAGACCCAACCTCTTTAAAGAGAAAGGTGGTACCTTTAAATCCTGAGTATTTTCCGCATTGCTGCCAGATACCAAATTACTTTCTTATTAAGTGCCTACTGTGTATCAGACAAGGGACTAGTGCCACAGGTAAAGGGCATGACCTTGCCGGCATTTGACAACCGTCTGTCTGCGGTGGGTGAGAGTGAGGAAGGGAATCGTTAGCAGTGGTGGTGACCTTGGAGCTGGGTCTGGAAGGTGGGTGGATGGGGCTCAGCAGGCCAGCAGATAGGGATCAGCCCAGAAGTGCGAAAGCCTGGTAGGTTTGGAGGCAGCAGGCACAACTGGAGCAGAGACTGAGGGTCTTGGTAGAAGAGGAAGCTGAAGGAGGAGATTTGGGGCAGGCTCTGGCGGGCTTTGCACAGTACTTGAACAAGCAGTGGGGCAGCATGGGAGGCTTAGGGGGAGGAGAGGAGCATGATCAGATTGGTGTTCCTGAGCAGTTAGGCTGTTGGGATCAGAGGGGTGAGGCTGGTGATGGGATGGTCTTGAGGAGGAGGCCTGAGGTATCTGTGTAGAAGAGGAGGTGGTGCTGGTGGAGGGAACAGGGGAAAGTTTTAGGTAGAATTGGCAGGACTAAAGAGTAGGCAAGGCCAAAGAATAGAAGGTATGGGAAGAGCTGCGTTTTAGCTTGAGTGGGTGGAGATGCTGCCACATTAGAACACACACGGGCGGGAGAATAAGACTGAGGGTAGGGTGGGGAGATGAGTTAGATTTGAGACGTGTTTAACTTGAGGTCACTTTTATTTAAATAACATAATAATGTTTTCTCTGCCAGGCACCATTCTCAGTAATTCCAAGATAGCTGATCTCCGTGTTGCAGGTGATTGGCACCTAAAGAAATTTAAGTCACCCCAGGTCACACAGCTAGGGAGTGACTGGGCCAGGGCTCAGACAGGCACAGCTTCTCGTAAACACTGTCATCCCTACCTCCATCTGTGCATTGTGCCACATGTGGCTACGGAGCCAGTCTGTGCC